AGACCTGAAGGCAGTGTTCCTGGCTTCCAGCAGGGTACGCACCTCTGAATTCAGCCAAGGTTTTCTGTTTGGGTAGCTTTTAACAGTTCTGATAGTGGAGACGGTTTCAGTACTTGTACTAATGTAACCCAGAACTGAGGATCAGAGTCAGAGTTTCTTTATTGTCATTCGCACCTCATGTGGTACATGTGGTGGAGCGAAATTATGTACACAAGGTCCCAGTTACATCCAACAATAAAATGTATAAGAAAAACAGTAATAACATCTAAGATATGAACTAAGAAAAACATCAACTAAATATACACTAAACACTCATAACATAGGATGTGTATTGGTCAAGATCAAGCGAACCTCCATTTTCAGCAGCTTCTCTGAAAACCTGCCAGTCTGTTCAGTCAAAACAATCTCTCAGTATGGGGCCACTGTCCTGGATCCAGCATTTAACTTTCTTTTGTACCGGTCTGGAGCGTCTCAGCGGGGGCATGTAAGCCCATGTAATTTTAACCTCCTTTCTGAGGTGTCTTTGTTCCATCTGAAGTCCACGACCATCTCCTTCATCTTTTTTCATTCATTCAACCTTTATTTAGACAGGTAAATCCCATTGAGCCTCGAGGACTCATTTACAAGAGAGACCTGATTTCAACAAAGAAAGATGAAAACAATGGACAACAGCAACAACAATAAACAATTATAAAAAGTCATACTGCAGGTTTTTTTATTTTATTTTATTTTTTTTACAAATAGGATGGCTAAAAGAAAAAGGTAACAAACCCCCCCCCCCAAAAAAAAAAAAACAGCTAGATTCTAAGGCGAATGTAGAAAACTAAAAACAGGAACACAAGGTGTTTGAATACAAGGTGTAGTGGTGGGTACGATAATCACAGCCAGTTATGAATCTTAGTGCACCATGATAGACAGCGTCCAACATCTGCAGCATCCAACATCTGCAGCATCCAACATCTGCAGGGTTCTTGTAGGAGCGTTCATGTAAATAATGTCACCGTAATCAATGGAGGGAAGGAAAGTCACAGATACAAGGTGTTTCCTAGCATTCAGGGTTAGACAGGATCTGTTTGTTTCTGAAAAAGAAACCCAGTTTAACTTTCAGTTTCTTTACCAAGTTTTCCACATGAAGCTTAAAAGAGAGATGTGAGTCGACCAAGATACCCAAATATTTATAGGAATCAACAAATTCAATGGGGACACCATTTGAGGATAAAATCGGAGGAAGAACTGGTGGGACCAACTTCCTATTTGAAAAAAGCATCCCTTTGGTTTTGTCGGCATTTAGGACAAGTTTGAGGCGGAACAAATCTGACTGGATGATGTTGAATGCAGATTTCAAAAGCTGGAAAGCCTTAGCAACAGTTTTAGCTCGACAATAAACAACTGTGTCATCAGCATAGAAATGTATGGATGCATTAGGGATGTTTTTACCTACATTATGTATGTAGATTGTAAAAAGGGTGGGTCCTAAGACTGAGCCTTGTGGTACACCATTGTTGACTGTTAAATAACTGGAGGAAGTACCATTATGTTGAACACATTGCCTCCGGTCTGAAAGATAGTTAGAGAACCAACCAATGGTGTGTTCTGAGAAACCAATTTCTGAGAGCTTATGACAAAAGATGTTCTGATCCACAGTGTCAAAAGCTTTAGACAGGTCTAAGAAAAGTGCAGCACAATAATCCTTAGCATCCAGTGCTTCAACAACGTCATTAAGAACCTTCAGTGAAGCAGTCGTTGTGCTGTGTTGTTTCCTGAAACCAGATTGATGTGGAGGTAAGATGTTAAATGAGCCCAGGTAATTTTTGATTTGAGAGTTTATCAGTTTTTCTAGAACCTTGGCTAAAATGCAGAGTTTAGAGATTGGTCCATAGTTGTTCAGTGAGGTGGGGTCTCCTCCCTTCAGCAAAGGAAGAACAAAGTCTGTTTTCAAGTGTCTGGGATGGAGTTTTGTCTCATGGAGAGATTGAAGATGTGGGTCACAGGGACTGTGATGATATGAGCAGCCAGCCTTAAGAAATAAGGTGGTAGTTCATCTGGTCCTGCAGATTTTTTAGGATCAAGATCTTTTAACAGTTTATTGACCTCACTGACTGAGAATGGAGAAAAAGAGAAGCTGTGATTAACTGAGGATTGACTTGTAGGTGGGATTTGATTTGTAGAAGTTTGGTTATTAGGGGAAGTGGCTGATCTTCTGTTAGTTACTGTGTCAAATAAAGAACCAGAAGCAACAAAATGTTTGTTGAAACAGTTCAGGATCTCGTGCTGATTTGACACAGGAACAGAGTTAACGAGAAGTTGTGATGGGAGGTCAGATGGCTGGGGGCTGCCTGAGAGAGATTTGATGGTTTTCCAGAATCTGTTAGGGTCATTTAGATTTTTGGAGGTCTGAGATAAGAAATAGTTGTGTTTTGCAGCTTTGACAGCAGTTGTACATTTATTCCTCATCTGTTGAAAACTCAACCAATCAGTGTCTGAGTCAGATTTTCTCGCTGTGGCCCAAAGATGATCTCTCCTGTGCAGGAGGTCAGCTAGCTGTGGAGTAAACCAGGGGCTGTCTCGTCCCTTTATTCTGAACTGATGAAAAGGAGCATGTTTGTTCACAAAATAAATGAAACTATTACGAAAATAGTTCCAAGCGGAGTTCACGTCATCAATTAATAGAATACGATGCCAGTCAAAATGAGACAGATCCCAGAGGAATGACTGTTCATAAAAACGTTTCAGATCTTCTTCACGATGTGAAGGTTATTGTCTTTGCACCAGTTCTCTAGGTGTTCCACCTCCTGCTTGTTTGGTCTAGTGGGAGTGTCAACGAGTTGGGTCAGATTAAGTGACAGTCAACATTCCTTGAATTTATCATAGAGGGGGCTCGGCTTTTCCCAGTGGATATTGAAATCTCCGGCAAGAGGAATCTCTTTGAATTGTAAATTAACTAGGAAGTCTGACAGGAGAACAGAGCCTCAGGCGTTGCTAGGGGGGGGGGGGGGGGAGTGTAACATCCCACTACAGAAAAGATCTGGCCTCCATTCAAAGTGATGTTTACAGCTAAGGCTTCAAATTGGTTTGGGATTGTTATAGCTGACACCAGTTTAGAATCCAGGGTTACTCTGATGTAAATAGCGACCCCACCTCCCTTTTTTTTATTGACGGTCAGCGTGATAAATGTTAAATCCTTCAGATGCCAGATCCTTATTAAAGGTAGATTTGTTGAGCCAGGACTCAGAAATAAAAATTACATCAGCCGCAGAAGAACGGACCAAAATTTTCAAAGTGTCATGTTTTTTCAAAAGACTATGTGCGTTCACATGCAAAAAATGAAGACCTGACATGTTTTTCAAATTATTTGGTGTGTTGTAATGTGTGTGGGGACCAGGGTTGGGCTGGATCCCTGAGAGCAGTAACAACATTATTATCAGACATATTCTTGTGTTTTTTTGTGACAGATGTGTAATTACAGAAGTTAATAGTGTGATAATTAGCCGCCATAATCGAACCATGAGAAAAGTTTATGAAGACATGATTACTCAGAACCCAAAAACAGTTAAGTTTGCAGGGAGAGGCAGATCCTGATGCATTAACAAGGTTCAGTGACTCCAGATAGTCAGAGATCTGAAATGATAGGAATATTGTGACTGGTGCAGGAAAGTCTCAGACTAGACAGCGTCACAGGTCAAATGGACCAACGGGACCAATACAGCTCTTCTGTGGTCTTTATTAAAACACATTTTAACAATGTTTAAAGTATAGACCTTTGTTAGGCTGAAATAATTAAAATAAAGTTAATTTATAGACCAGATTAGGACAGGGTGCCTTAAAATATCTTTATTGTTCATAAGAAATAACAGAAAACAAAAAGCACAACTTATTTCTCATTCCAAATGCAAACTCTGGACTAGTGAATCCCAGAACCATCTGAGTGTAAATATTCATGTATTACCAAGTGTCACACAGAGTATATAAATACTTGAGCTAATGATCTGATGATCTGATTAAAGGTTCTACCATTTAGGCGCAGTAATAATTACATGTTACATATGCTTTTTAAAATTTTATTTAACAAACCTGTGAATTCTGCAGCAAAAACAAACAAACAAAACCTTCCACCTTTCCACTTTGGGCATAATTTAAAAGAAAGATAGGTGACTGTTTTCTTGACAGAATTAATCTAGAGTCACGTTTCAGAGCAACAGCTAGATTTGATTTTTTTTTACTCAGCCTGAAATGCTAACACTGTCCTTCAGAAAATGTCAGGACTTTAAATATCAAAAGATATCTACTTTTATGTAATAAACAACAGATGATGTCCAATATAGTTAAAGTTGTATCAAAGAAAACCTAACCAAAACATAAAAAAAATTAAAGAACTTATTTATAAAAAAAATTAATGACAAATCCAAGCTTTTCTTTAAAAACAAACAAACAAAAAAATCCCATCTATTCAGTTTGATGCTGCAAAGCTTTCTTCAGTGTCCCAGAAGCCCTGTGCCTGGAGGACAGAAACATCATTCAACAAGAAAAATGAATATGATATATGTATATGAAGTGTAATCTGCATTTTATGTCTTTAATAAATCTGCCTGTTAATCCACATCGAAAATCCAGTCTTTTTAAGATTTTAGCACTTGAGCAAGACGATGTGATAAAAGAAGAAATGTAGAAAACAAAACTTTGGATGAAAAACACTTACCTTTAAAACCCTCTTCAGGCACTCTCACTGTAAAGAAAGTTGATAAATCAATTTAAGCAAAGACACCATTTTTAAAATTTATAATAATGTTGCTGTCAGTCAAAAACGCAGTATGGTAGAAACCAGATGTTTAGATACACTGTATAAAAAGACTGAACCATTTCTTTGTTCTAATTATCTGATATTAAACAAGACTAAAATGTTCCCGTTTTACATTGTTAGGATTCACAAATTCATTGTATGAATGAAGTATAACTGTTGGAATAATGTAGGGGGCGCAATGGAGTCAAATGTTAAAGAACAATACCAATGTGTCTAGAAGTGCTCACTAATGACGCACCAAAAATATGGTACAGATAGGATGATATATCAATGAGATATAACTTTTAGAATAATCTAGGGGGTGCACTCGAGTCAAATGTTAAATAACAACACAAATGTATATAGAAAGGCTCACTTATGACGCTCCAAAAAATCTGTTGCAGATCAGATAATATATCAACATATAACAGTTTGAATAATCTAGGGGGCGCACTTGAGTCAAATGTTAAACAACAATACCGATGTGTGTAGAAATGTTCACAGATGAGGCACCAAAAATCTGGTACAGATTGGATGATGTGTCACTAAGCTATAACTGTTGGAATAATCTAGGGGGCGCTGTGGAGGCTATTGGCCACTTATCATAGACACCTGTTCAAGGGGTGGATGATGATTGATCATAGTGATTTTGGTGCACCTCGGCTCAAATCTCTGGAATTTAGAGCCAAACGTATTGCAACTGCGTCACTTCTTAATTCACCACGCGGCCACGCCTACATTCTCCAGGCAAAATGGTTTGCACTTTAAAGCAAGTCAGACCAACTTGGTAAATGTCAACACAGGATCATCCAGATTAAGTCGTGTGTGTTAGAAAGGGAGCATTCCAAGTAAAAAAAGTGACTTCCTGTTCTGAGGGGGCAGGGCTTTGATGACATCAGAATATGACACATAGGATCGTTGGGCATCCAACAGGGATGACTCAAGCCAAGTTTGGTGCAATTCAGTCTTTCATTGTGAAAGTTATAGTGTTTGAAAATTTATGGCATGAAACTCAACTTTTGAGGCCTGGCCAAACCCCTTTAACATATATGAAAATGCAAGCTTTTGATAAATTTAATTCCCCAATGTGTTAAGTGCATATTAACCAAGTTTTGAAGGCAATCCATAAAAATTCCTAGTAGGTTGTTAAAATGCGCCATTACAAAAGACCAGAATTGAATCTTTGACCCAAAATGGCTGACTTCCTGTTGAGTTTGGACCAGGGCTCCAAGAGACTTTTTCATATGTTCTGAGAAGATACAGATGTTCACAGAGTTTCATAATTATTGAGTAAAAATGGCTTGGGGCTGAGGTTTTAAAATATTCTAGGAGAAGCTGTGGAGGCTATTGGCCAATAATTATTATTATTTTTTTTCATTTAGCCTTTATTTATACAGGTTAGTCTCATTGAGCCACGAGAACTCATTTTCAAGAGAGACCTGTTTAGGGAGCACATGGTGGGGGTTAAGGGCCTTGCTCATGGGCCCAGAGTGGGGCGAATGAGGGTGGGGGCAAGTGTGGGTGTTTCACCTACCCCACCCACAATTTTGATGTTGTCGGGGCCGGGGCGTGAACCGGCGATCTTCGGATCACAAGCCCACCTCTCTAACCTCTGCGCCACTATTGGCCAATAATCATGGATTCCTGTTGAAGGGGTGGATGATGATCGATCATAGTGATTTTGGTGCACCTCGGCTCAAATGTGTGCAATTAGAGCCAAACGTATGGCAACGGCGTCACTTATAAATTCGCCACACCACCATGCCACATCCTCTTGCGAAAATGGCTTGCGCTTTAAAGCAAGTCAGACCAATTTGTTATATGTCTTTTAACACAGGATCATCCTGATTAGGTCAAGGGTGTCCGTGAGGGAGCGTTCCAAGCAAAAAATTGACTTCCTGTTCTGAGGGGGTGGGGGTTTGATGACATCAGACTATGGCCACAGAGGATCGTCAGACATCTGACAGGGATGACTCTTGCTAAGTTTGGTGCATTTCAGTCTTTCAATGTGAAAGCTATAAAGTTTGGAAATTTAAGGCGTGAAGCTCAACTTTGAGGCCTGGCCACGCCCCTTTAACATATATGAAAACGCATTTTTTTAAAATAAATTTAATTCCCCAATGTCGTAAGGGCATATCAGAGTCAGAGTTTCTTTATTGTCATTCGCACCTCATGTGGTACATGTGGTGGAGCGAAATTATGTTCACAGGGTCCCAGTTACATCCAACAATAAAATGTATAAGAAAAACAG